AAAAACCATTGTTTTTCCCAAAGTCTCTAGACTCTAAACGCATTTTTTGCTGGAAATCTGTTAAAAAATGGGGCAAAATTGGCTTGCAAAAGATTCGCAGAGTTAGCTGGCTGAAAATGGGCAAACGATGCAAAAATCCGTGGCAGTTGTTGGTTGGCCATCCGAATTTATGAAAACCGGTCGACTTCGTCCAGTTCTTCAGCATGCCGCGACACATTCCCAATATTTTACGGCCGCCGAGGGAAATTAATAATTGCCGCTTTTTACACGCGTCCACATGCATCACAACCGAAAAAAGCCATCTGGACAATTCGTTTAATCTTGCCTTTTGCCTGCGACTTTCTCCTCGGTAATACAGTTTCACGGGTCCGGTATCAGGCGGACATAAAAGAAATGAAAAATGATTTAATGTCCGTATCTTTTGACACCGGCCAATTATTTCAGCGGCTAGAGCTGGCGCCGTTTTTCATTTCATATCTTGTTCGAGAGCTGCAGTTGTTTTGTTACACAATGTTTCCCGTTCAATTATTAATACAACTATTTTTCTTCGGCTCCATGCGCGGAACGAAGCCACATCAGTGCGGACTAACCCATAAAAATGTCAGATGCATAAGTTTTAATATATAAAGTGCTGCGCAACGCCCCCAGGACAAATTTATTGCGCTTTTCCAGTTGAACAGTCCCTCCACTTTACGTATATTTAAACTCGCTTTAACTACCCGAAGGAACTTTTTGAGGGAAAATGCCCCGTTTAAGTTAAGAGGCTTGAAAAATGGCTCAGATTTCACTTGCACAGGTCATAAAGTTGGATAGTTTTAACGTGGTGTTGACTAAGTCAGTCGAACCGGTTGAGAGCACTCAGCTCACTTTCAGAGCCAGCAACATGAAAACCTGCGAAGAAGCAAATGAAACCCAACAAACTGAGTAATTAGAGACAAAAGCAGCTGCAGTCTGCTCACTAATTGTCTAGACTAATTTTAGAATTTTGGTAAATATGTCGGAAGAAACAGCCAACGTACGTACGCACGTTCCTCATTTTCTAATTGCAGGAAACATGTGCCGTCTGCGATCTGTAATTAGGTGTTTTCGAAATAGAACAGTGTCTCTATTGATCGGAACTGCTTGCGAATAAAACCGATGAGCGAGACGCGCATTTTTTTCAAAAATCCAAATGGTCCAGATCTGCATAATGTGCGGTCCATAACGCCTGAAAATTATAGCGTGGCATTGGAACAATCGCATTTCCAAGCGATTCTTGGCACGTTTTCAGCTAATGGTGGCATTGTTTCGAAAATCCGATACAAAGTCACGTGCATTCGAAGAAAACACCGGGTTAAATCGATCGGATTTGCATGATAAAAGGTGTGCGACGACAATGTGGTGACACTGAGCGCACA